TACATGATGTTTTAGAAATTTACAAAAACATTTAAAACAATATTCCTCATATATAGTGCACCAATGATTCAAGTTTGACTTATATCTATTTACTTGCTTGATACAAGCAAATACACTAAACTCTTGGCATGAATAATCATTTAAGGGTAGTACTTTTGATAATTTGTCATTTGGCCAGATTATAGATTTGAATTGCATATGCTGAGACACTATGTGGAAGAACAATATATTCAGCAAATGAGAGACCTCAAATGATTACCCAGCATTAGTGTATAATTAAAATGTCCTCAGGAAGTGATGAGAACTTCCTTTCTGGGAAAAAAGAACAAAGTAGGGCTTATTAAGCGATCCTAAGGATAAGGAGAAACACAATTAACCTGTGGCATAAGGCTGTGGATGGAAAACACATGACTCACAACAGAAAATAGATTCTTAAAAACAAAACTAAACCAACAAACAAAAAAAGCAGCCAGTTTGAAAAGAAAGATGTAAAACTTTTCCTCTTTACTGAACACATAATTATCTAGGTATCTCAAGCAATCTACAAAAAAGTTTCCAGAACTGGGAAGTAAATTCAGCAAGATTTCAATAAATATCCAAAATCAAAACATAAAAGGCAAGTGCACTGCTAGATAGTAGCAATGAATATGTGAAAACCAAAATTAAAAAGACAATACCATTTATAATTGTTCCAAAGAAAATTAAATATTTAGGTATGCAATTAACGAAACATGTACAGGATCAGTATGCTGAAAATTACAAGATTCTATTGAAGAAAATCAAAGATGAGCTTTATAAACAGAGAGACATACCATGTTCATAGATTAGAAGACTCAAAATAATAAAGAGGTCAATCCTCCCAAACTAATCTATAGTATTAAAGTAATTGTTATCAAAATCTCAGCAAGGTTTTTCTTTAGTCATAGACAAGTTTATTTAAACATTTATATGGAAAGGCACAAACTCTAAAATATCTAAAACAATCTTGACAAGGAAAAATAAATTGGGAGGAATTTATCTGAGAGTAAAGCCTATCACATAGCTTCAGTAATAAAGATAATGTGATATTGGTGGAGGAAAAAACAAATAGATCGAACAGAATAAAGAACCTCAAAATAGACCCATCCAAGTACAATCAACTGATTTTTGACAAAGGTATAAAAGTAATTCAGTGGAGGAAGAATAGCCTTTTCAATAAATGGTGCTGAAGCAATTGGATATCCTTAGATCGAAAAACAAAAAAGAACACTGACCTAAACATCCAACATAAAACTATAATTTTAAAAAAAATTAAGAGAAAATCTATACCTATAGTTAGGCAAAAAGTTCTTAGACTTCACACCAAAATAATCATCCAATTGATCAATTAGATCTCATCAAGATTAAAAATATTTGCCCTGCAAAATATCCTATTTAAAGAGGATGAAAACACAACCTAGAGACTTGGGGAAAATATTCTCCAAACACATATCTGACAAAGGACACATATCTAGAATGGATTTTTTTTAACTCTGAAAATTCAACAGTAAGAAACTAATCCAATTTTAAAACAAGCAGAAGACATGAACAGACACTTCACCAAAAAAGGTTTATGGACAGCAAATAAGAGAACATGAAAAAATATTCAAAATGAGCCATCAAAATGGCTAAAATAAGAAAGTGACAACATCAAATTAAGGTAAGCATGTGGAGAAACTGGATAACTTACACATTTCTGGAGGGAATGTAAAATGGTATAGCTCCTCTGAAACAGCTCAGCAGTTTCTTTTAAAACCAAATATGTAATTACCATATGACCCAGCAATTATATACTTAGGTATTTATCCCAGATAAATGAAAACTTTTATCCCAGAGAAAGTCACATTAAAACCAATGCATGCACAAAATTGCATAACAGCTTTATTTATAATAGCAAAAACTAGAAACAGTCAGATGTTTTTCAATGGTTGAATGATTAAACAAACTGTGGTAAATCCATTACTGTGGAATACTATTCAGTGATGAAAAATGAACAAACTACTAATGCACACAACAACCTGGATGAATCTCCAGGGAATTATGCTGAGTAAAAAAAAAGCCCATGCCAAAACATTACATACTATACAGTTCCATTTACATAATATTCTTAAAATGACAAGATTATAGAGCTGGAAAACAGATTAGTGGTTGCCAGGAGTTATGAATAGTAGGGTGAATAAGAAGTAGATCAGATGTGCTAACAGAAAAACAATAGTAGGGGTCCTTGTGGTGATAGAACTGCTCTGCTCTGTAACTTGACTGTGATAGTGAATACATGAACCCACAAATGTGATAAAATTGTATGGAACTAAATACACACAAACTCCGTATCTGCAAAATGTAACATTAGCATCACTAACACATATGTTTCAAAAAGCAACGACAAAAAGCCAGAAACCTGTACCATATTTTTCATTATTTACAAAAGGGTAGCCATGAAGATTTTGCAATGTATCCTTTAAAAATGTTAAAGATCTACTACTCAAGAGGAAGTAAGAGAATTTTCTAGATAACAAAAGCTCGTCTCTTAAAATGGTACAATTTTTATTCCAATCATTTTTAATACTTGTCTTTCTAAAACGTACTTCAAATCCTCTACTTTTTCAAGTAGAGGATAAAAAACATTATGTAACTTTTGCCTGAAGACACTAGGATACAACTGTGATCATCACCTGTCATACTGGACTATAATATAGTGATGGCCTTAAGGGATCTTCTGACATGAAAAGCCACTTACCCATACACTAAATGGCCCAAAGTATGCTTTCAGCTTGCCGATGCTGTCTTCTCCTTTATTATTCTACCAAGTAGCACTTAAAATAGTAGCATGTTAGAGCCCAGAGAGACTTCTGAGATCGCCTAGTCCAAACCCCTCCAAACACGTTTTACTAATGGCAAAACATAGACTCAAAATAGATATCTCTTGCTCAGTATCACATAGCAAATTAAGGACTATAACCCTAGTCTCCATGTGGTTCTCAGTTTGCCTGCCTCTAGCAGATACCCCTTCCTATTTGCTGCTTTAAACTACAATGCTAGGAGGAAACACACACACACACAACACACCCATAGACACACACACACACACACACACACAAGCACACACACAGAAAATGAGGTTGTCAGAAATAAGTATTAAATAAATAAGGCTTTTGATTTAAGTGAGTGCTGATGATAACCTCTTGTATAATGTAAAATTTTGTGACAACTATTTTGGCCCTAGCCTCTTTCATATAATTTCAAGTTTGTGAACATGATCCAAAAGATTAAGGAAGCCAGTCTTGCTGGGGCTAAGTGAGATATTGTTAGTCCTATTTACCCATGTTGCCAGCACTTACTATAGATAGCCCTTACAAATGGATTTTCTGTACTTTCTCTACTTTCCTGGATGTTCTCAAGGCTTTTCCTGCTTACTACTATCACATTAATAACCAGCTAACTTTTCCAAGTGAATTAAGACATATAGAACATTACCCAATTCACTGTTTGCCCCACACTCTAACTGGCAAGAGGAACACATAACAGTTCTATTTCACTGTCTTCAAACAAAACTTCCACCAACAACAATTTAGTTTCTCACTTTGAGAAGTTATACAAATGAAACTAAAGAGATCAGGAACTGAAAATAAGATAATTTTATTTGCATTCAAAATGTATCAACTCAGCCATTAGAAACTATTAACCTCAATTATCATAAAAAGTAATCAGTGGCCTTGAAGTAACAGAAGTATAATACCTCTCGGAAGGCCAGTGTGACTGTCACTATATTGTAGTCAAGCTATATTCATGGGCACACAAAAGCACACAAGAAAGTTACCAAATATTTATTCCTCATTTCATTAAAGCATATGTCTTTTCAGTTGAAATCATCTTCTGTTTTAAATCTTTCAGCACTGGCTCTGAACAATAGCTAGTGAGCTGCACCTTTTCATACCAAATGGCATTTAGCATTATACAAATTATAATCTATACCAGACATTTCAAAGGCTGTGCTTTTACAGAAAATCACAGAACACAAACTGCATATTACAGGGAAAGAATGCTACTTACATGAAAGATATGAACATAGCTTAAGAAGTCAAGCACGTTCCCAAACTTTTCACAGGCTCATGCTTAACACTCTGCCACAAAAATGATATGTAAGATGACAAAGCGTATCCTGAAGAATCTCTGGTGTATTGAATTTTAAGTTTTAATTACTATTAAAGTGCCTGACAGTCTGATGTTCTAAACCTCTGGACTCTACAACTACTTGAACGACTTAACTATGTGATTATTACCTTTTAACCTGTCAATCATATATCATTTGAAAAAGTAAACTAACCCAATTGTTTTTAAACAGTGAATCTCTCTCAGAGGAAGATACTTAAAACATTATTACTTCCCACTGTTCTATCCTAACTTACCAAAATATGTACCCAAATATTATGCCCACAAAATTTATTTATTCAAAAATTATAATCTTCCATTTTGCTACACTAAGTATTATTCAAGAAAGATGATATAGTTGGAAGAATCCTGGAGCAGGAGGAAAAAACTCTGGAATTTAATCTTGAGCTCTACCACTCTAGAGCTTAAGTGTGGCCCTGCCATTTACCAAGCCACGTGACCTTCTGCAACTACTTAATCTCCTTAAGTTCCATTGAGGCTTCTGTAAAAAATCCAACTATTACTACTACTATCTGCCCTACCCTAGCACAGAATTGTTTTAATGATCAAATGAGATAATATGATAATTATCTCATAATTGTTTTAATGATCAAATGAGATAAAATATTTAAAACAGCTTGGTAAATTCGGAGGCATTAAGGCATTATCACCCAAACAGAGAAAACTGAAAGCTCCATTTAAAAACAGGCAAAACCAGCATATTAATGTAACTTGTAGCAACCAATGCCACCTAAATCTTTATTGTTGGCTTCTTCTGAAGAAGAGTGAAAAAGACATTAACTTAGTTTACCTGCAGTAAACACTTTTCATACCTGGCATAACAAAATACTTCCACATGTTGAATAGTTTTGTCCTTCCTGCTAAGAGCAACGGCTTCTTCATTTTCAAGGATCTGGTCTTGCCACACTGGACTGTCATTTTCAATGTCACTGTTTTCCTAAACAAAACACAGATAAGTTTTAATTAAAGTGGGCAGTGTGAAATATGTCATTTTCTGAGAAAATGTACCTCGTCTAAATTCATGCTTATTTCACCTTACCAAAACTCAAAGGATATCAACTCAGAGTCACGAAAGACAGTCCAACAAGTGTTCCAACTTCAAAGGAAGGAGAGAAAAACAATGTGTAAAATCTATACTATCAAAAACTAGATCTGATTTATACTTTTCTATCAGGGTATATGAAATTTTGAAAAAGTCATTCGGACATGGCTGTTTACACATTGCTTAAGAACTAGGACAACTAACCCTCTATCTGCTGAGAATCAAGTATATCTGTTATATACATTACTTGTTAATAAAAACAGGGTTTTTTTTACATTTTTTGGTTGAAACGGCAGAGTCAAAATAACTTCATTCTATTTATTTTCAGATCTTTGAAGGCTGGTCACTAGTCATATCAAATTTTGATTACATATAAAAGTACTTCCGAAAAATATTCAGCACAGTATAACTAAGGGCTGTATAATAATTAGTTCCTGAATACCTTATAAAACAAGAAAGACAATAAAAAACAAGAATGTGTAACAAAGCATGTAAACTCTAAGGGTTGAAAGTGGTCTGTTAAAATGTTCAATAATTCCAAATTATATTTTATGGAGTATTTGAATACGGAGTATTTTTGAAGGTGTCAAGATAAACCTTTTTCAAATGTCAAGGATCAATTTTTAATCTGTTTAAAATCTTAAGCTGTGTAACACACATCTTTCTCAGAGAAAACTTTTTGAAATTGTATTATACATACTGAAGGAACTAGTAGGAAAATAGAATTACAACATCTTTTAAGTAAATTCATCTCAGAAAATTTCTAAACTTACAAATGTCATAAAGGCAATAAACATTTTTAAAAGGCTTTGTTGTCCTGTGTTTAAAATTTTAAACTGAAGAAAAGTAGTGACATACAACTCTTATTATCAAGTATAATACTAGATAGTACTAAACATCCCAACGTAAGTAGAACAGAAGGTGAAATACAAGAATTTTGAATGTGTAGACATGAGGTTACCAGCCTAAGAAAAGAACTGTGGACCAGGGAAAGGGAGTGGAGAGAGACAAAGACAGTGGCAGAGTTAAGATCCTGGAGTAAAACAATCATTAAAATAAACTAAACTTCCAGAAAAACATTTTTATTTGAATAAATATAAAACATCACCAAATTTTTTTTTTTTAACTTCCATTCAGACTATTGGGGTATATTTTGTTATTGTTGTTCTGAGAATCTACACTAAATTTTCTTATGGAAGTACTAAATATGCCTAAATATAAGGTGACCGTCACATACACCTCCCAAAAATAAGATGTAAAAAAGAGTTTCTGATCAAAGTAAATACATGAATATTTAAGCATACAGACCAAACAGCTAAATATCTACTTATTTACTCTCTTGACTTACACAGTTTGAATGATATGAAATGCTATTTTACAAATAATTGCTTGTTTCTCTACACTCATTTCATGCAACAATATTCAACCTGAATTTTCACTGTATCTTCAATATCAGTGTCTTTGTCATCATGAGAGGCACTTTTTGAGTCATGCACAATGATTAAGTCATGTACACTGATTAAATCAATCCATCAATGCAATGGTGCTTGGTACATGATAAATGCTTAACAAGTCTTAGCTAACTGAATACAATTTTCTGGACTACATCATCCTCCTTTCCAAACATCGAAATTCTTTTGCAATACGGCAGTTTCTGATCTTCTGTATGATGCTCTCAGCAGAAATTTCATTTCAAGCCACACGTACCAATCTGCATAAGATTAGGACAGCTTTTTTAAAATCTGTCTTATAAAAGTTAGCAAACTCCATAACTGACTCTCCATATTATGCTATACCTGATCCCTAAACAGTTTCTTTATAATGGTATTAAACAGCTTGGTATTGAGATCCTACCCTTAGAAAAAAATCACTGAATTCATACTAAATTTCTTTGATTCTTCTTTTGGCTGATTCTGTCAGGTGACATCTATAAATATAAAATCACCACTGAGATCATTTCAAATTAATGTATCTTCCCCAAATTGTTAGGCTTTTTTTTTTTTTTTTCTTTTTTTTGGTGTTTGTTCAAAATATACTAACTCTAAGAGCAACCAGTAAATGTGAGATTTTATAAGGACTAGGATATTTTTTCTAAAGATGATTTTGGGGAAACATTATTGTCATATTTGGGCACATAAATAATTAGAAAATGGTTATTAAGTACAAACAGTTTACTCTTCAGCCAACATTTCTATTTATATTTATATTTATACACATATATATATTTCTTCTTTTTTTTTTTTTTTTTTTGGGACAGAGTCTCACCCTGTTGTCCAGGCTGGAGTGCAATGGTGCAATCTCGGCTCACTGCAACCTCCACCTCCCCAGTTTAAGTGATTCTCCTGCCTCAGCCTCCTGAGTAGCTGGGACTACAGGCACGTGCCACCATGCCCGGCTAATTTTTGTATTTTTAGTAGAAACGGGATTTTGCCATGTTGGCCAGGCTGGTCTCGAACTCCTGACCTCAGGTGATCCGCCCACCCTGGCCTCCCAAAATGTTGGAATTACAAGCATGAGTCACCGCACCCGGCCTCTATTTATATTTAAAACGGGATAAAGACACTGGGAAAATATTAGCTGAAAAGGTGACTTTATATGTTTTTTGTAAAATAAGTGAAGAAAAATAAAGAATCAATCCCGTATTGCAGGTGAAGCTTAGGGTTTTCTTCAATGCAGGGTTACTATATAACATACAATAAAACAAAGCAAATTAAAAGATCAGATACAAACTTTACCTGGTGTTCCTTTAGCCAGGACAATAGTCCTGAAAAGCTAAAACTGGCCCAGTTTCCTCCATAGTAGCTTCTTCTGTAACAATAAAAAAAAAAAAAAAAAAGAGTAAAGAAAAGGGTATAAAAATCAATTCACTGATCTTCATCAACAAACCATCTTTAACACTTAAACTTACTTCACTTTTTAATATTACTGCCTCAAGAGTTCAAAAGTACACATAACTGGAATGCTCACATAAGTGGAAGTGGTAGGCTAAAAGTGGGCCTCTCAGATCCCAAAAGAAATTTTTCATCATATAAGGAGTTAAAAAACATCTTTGGCTTCCTTAAAGCTTTCTCCACTGATTATGTGAACAGCTTGACATGGGCATTTAGCAGATAACATAAATATATATGACTCCAGGGTTAACAAATGTGGCAAGGAAGAAAATCTTGATAATCTCAAAAAAAGCTACTAAAAAACTGCTAAGTTTTCTGTAAGTACTTAAATCTCCTCCTCCTCCACCAACACCTCCGCCGCCACCGCCGCCACCACCACCACCCACCACCAAACCCATGTCCAGCACAAAACGTACACAAACACCCAGATACACAACTGGCTACTCTAGATAAAGTGGAAGACCCTGTGCTATTCTTAGCCTTATAGGGCCAAAAATAAAAGGAGATCCTGGGAAACAGTTATTCACATCACATCAAGACATTTGCAGTAAGTATAACAGAAACAAAATTCTCACTAATAACTGAGTGAGCTATTATTCTTCATTCCTCAGTCATGTGAAGATCGCTGTTTTGGACAACCCAGAGGTCTCCTAACTAGGATCAGGTAAACTTTGTAGACATTAGACCATTAAGTGGGGATTTTCTGCAACCAGAACTCTTTAATTCTTCACTGCATATTGGGCCTCCGATCCTTGTAAAACGATTTGCACTTACTGACTCTATATGATGAGCCCCTAAGTATACTTGATCCCACCTACAACACCCATTCTGGTTCTGGTTGGGAGGGATTCTTGGTTTTGTTCCATTTTTATTTTTGCTTCTCTGCTTCTCTAATAAAATAAAAATTCATGAAAGGTTTTTAAACAATTAAACAAAAAATAAAACCTATAATGTGATATCTAACATGACTCTTCCAGCCAGGCACAGGGGCACACACTTATAATCCCAGCTACTTGGGAGGCTAAAGAGAGAAGAGTCCTTGAGCCCAAGAGTTCAACACCAGCCTGTGAAAAATAGCAAGACCTCATCATAAAATAAAATAATGAAATGAAATAAAATACAACATAAAATAACTCTTGCATAATGCTACTAGAGATCATCTCCCAATTCTGATTCACGTTTCTTAAATCAACTGTTGACATAGGTCTGAAAAGTAAGCAGATTTTAGGCTCAAGCATTTTACCAAACAAGTACTGCTTTTCTCTAACAGAGAAAAGGGTTAAATAAAACGCCTGTGAAAGTAGCTTTATTAATATAAATCGTATTGTACTTACATCTGACAGTCTCTTCAGAAATAATGTAAATTCATACACTGTCCAGAATCTCCAGTGGTCTTTAAAATTTAGCCAGAATTTCAGCTATAGGAGCAATTCTAGATGGCCACCCTTTACTAAAATGTTGGAATCAGGTAACCTACAAGCAGTGACCCCTTGCGTCAGAGAGAACAGTGAAAGGAAGGAGAAGGTGGGTGATGGCAGCTATAGAGAAGACAGAGGAATGTTAGAATTTGAGGTTTCCCCATAGCAATTTATACTTTCATCCCTCTTGCCTGAGAAGAATACACTTCTGCTATCTCTCCTCATCCTTCAAATATAAAACTCAACAAAACTAGAAAATATCCTAGGCTTTGAAGGAGGGGAAAAAAACCTGAAACTACAAAACTAGAAAATATCCTAGGCTTTGAAGGAGGGGAAAAAAACCTGAAACTACTGACTCTGTATTTTTTTGTTGAGATATTTAGATTGATTTGCAATCAACTTAAGGTCTTAAGTGAGCATCACTGGCTAATGGGTGAAAGCTTCAAGATTAAAGTAAAATTTATTTGAATGGATATAACAATATGTAAGTAATAAATGTATATCAAAAATGCAACATTAGGGACAGACAAACGTTTCTTTGGACACAAAAAGCAATTAAAACTATTGATAAATTAGGCTTCAAATGAAAAACTTCCCTACAAAATAAATTATTTTAATAAATGAATGGGCCAGACACAAATATTCACAAAATATATATAATAAAGGCTTGGTATTGATCGACCTCGGTGGTTCACGCCTGTAATCCTAGCACTTTGGGAGGCCGAGGTGGGCGGATCACCTGAGGTCAGGAGTTCGAGACTAGACTGGCCAAAATGGTGAAACTCCATCTCTACTAAAAAAAATAGAAAAAAATTAGCTGGGCATACATCTGTAGTCCCAGCTATTCAGGAGGCTGAGGTAGGAGAATTGCTTGAACACAGGAAGTGGACGCTGCAGTGAGTCAAGATTGTGCCATTGCACTCCATCCAGCCTGGGTGACAAAGAGCAAAACTCCGTCTCAAAAATAAAAAATAAAAAAAGGTAAAACTAAAGGTTTGTTATCCAGGATATATAAAGAACTCTTTCAACTTAATAAGATAGATATTAAAAGGTAAAAATGGGCAAAGGGTTTGAAGAGACACGTCACAAAAAAACATGGTTAATGAGCACATGAAAAAGTACTCAATATCATTAGGTAAGTGCATATTATAGTAGCATTACAAATGAACATATGAGATTCCAGTATGCAGCCACCAAAACAATTTAAAAGATTGTCAATACCTGGTATTGATGTAGAGGGCCAGAATGCTCATTTATTTTGGTGAGCATATAAAACGGTACAAGCACTTTCTAAAAATATCTGGCAGTTTTTTATAAGATAAATATATATCCGCCTTATGATCGAGTAATTTCAATTTCTAGGCAATTACACATGAGAAAAGCATATACTGTTAAAAATACTTGTACAAATCTTTCCACAGCAGCTTTATTAATAGCCCCAAACTGATGATAATCCACGTAACCGTCAACAGGAGAATGAATAAACAAACTGTTGTATATCCATAAAATGGGATACCATTCACCAATAAAAAGGAATAATCATCTGCTATATACAACATAAATGAATCTGAAAAACATTAGGCTGAGTGAAAGCCTTAGCCAAAGAGTACATATTGTATGATACCATTTATATAAAATTGTGGAAAAAGTTAATCTATGATGAAAAATACCACAAACTGGGAGTGGGGTCAGGACTTAACTGTAACTTCCAGGCAACCCAGCTAAAGAAGCTGCGACTCCAAAGAAGTGGGAGGCTAGACCCCCATACATATCCCTAGGAAAGGGGCTGAATTCAGGGGACTGGGCAGCAACAATCTGCAGGCCCCACTTCCATGGCACCTCACAGGATAAGAACCACTGGCTTGGAATTCTAGCCAGCCAAAGGGAGCAGCATCACACCTCTCTGAGACAGAGCTCCCAGGGGGAGAGGCGGGCTGCCATTTTTGCTATTTGGGCAACTTAGTCTTTCCAGCCTTTGGACTTTGGAGAGTCCAAGCCATCCCAGGTCAGAACCAGTTCCCCAAGACCAGCACAGCTGCTCTACAAAAACGTGGCCAGACGTTTTTTTGTTGTTGTTGTTTGTGTTTTAGATGAAGTCTCACTCTGTCTCCAGGCTGGCGTGCAGTGGCATAATCTCGGCTCACAGCAACCTCCACCTCCCGCGTTCAAGCGATTCTCCTGCCTCAGCCTCCCGAGTAGCTGGGACTATAGGCATGTGCCACCACGACCAGCAAATTTTTGTATTTTTAGTAGAGACAGAGTTTCACCGTGTTGGCCAAGATGATCTTGATCTCTTGACCTCGTGATCTGCCTGCCTCGGCCTCTCAAAGTGCTGGAATTACAGGCGTGAACCCCCGCACCCGGGCCCAGACTGCTGTTTTCCCATTCCTCCTCACTAGGCAGGACCTCTGAACCAGAACCTCCAGCCACCCCCACCAGTGTTTTCTAGCCAAAACGAAATTTGAAACCTCTCTGGTTTCAAACATTGCACCCAGAGGGAAAAGCAGACCACCATCTTTGCTGTTTGGGCAACTTAGCCCTTCCACCCTTAGAGTTTTGGAGAGTTCAAGCCAGGGGAGAAGCGGTCCCCGAGCAAAGCACAGCTACTCTATGAAAATGTGACCAGACTGCTTTTTTAAGTGATTCCCAATTCCATTCCTCCTCACTGGGTGGGACCTCCCAACTGGAACCGGCAGCCCTCGCCAGTGTTCTCTGGCCAAAAGAAATATGAAAACTCCCTGGAAGGAAGCTCCCAGAGGGAGGGGTGCGCCACCATCTTTGCTCTTTGGGTGACATAGCCATTCCAGCCTTCGGGCTTTGGGGAGTCCAAGCCAACCAGGGATGGAAGCGGTCCACCAACACAGCACAGCTGTTCTACAAAAACATGGCCAGACAGCATTTCTTAAGTGGAACCTCAATCCCATTCCTCCTCATGAGGCAGGACCTCCCAACCAAAGTCTCCAGCCATATCCTATAGGTGCCTTAAGTCTGGCAACAAGTCCACATCTTCCTCAGATAGATCTCCCAAAGGGAGAGGCAGGCCACCATATTTGCTGCTTCACAGCCTTCAATGCTGATACTTTGAGGTACTGGAAAATCCAAGGTCATTAGCAACTGGAGCAGGCATCCAGCATACCATAGCAGCCCTACAGAAAAGCAGCCAGACTGTTACACGGGAGCCCGTTCCCATAACTCCTCACCAGGCAGGTCCTCCAGGCCTGGGTCACCAGCTACCCTCACCAGAGCTATTAAGCCAGTAGCAGCTCGGCAACTCCCTGGACAGAGCCCCCAGGAGCAACTGAAAGCCTCTCTGCCACTGTCTCTGCAGTGGAATTCCCTTGCTACCCTCGGACTAGTGAAGAAGCAAAGATCCTAAGTGTTTTACCCAAACCTCCAACTAACTGTAGTCAACAGAAAAAGGGGTCACTCCATTTCCCACAGGTCGCACCCACCCCCCACTGCTCACCACTAGAGAACACCCAGGTTGGGCCCAGAGCAC